GAACAGTCTCCAAGACAGACTTTTATATTGGGCCATTTGACAAAATCTTGATCAATGTAAAAGTAATGAAATCATACAAAGTAATAAAATTAGAAATCAATAACAGAAGAAAACGGTGAAAATTCACAAATAAGTGGTAAACAACAAACTCCTGAATAACCAGTGGGTCAAAGAAGAATCCACAAGGGAAATTAGAAAATGCTCTAAAATAACTGAAAATGAAAACAATATGTAGAAAAACTTATACGGCTCAGTGGTGGAGTAAGGGCTTAGCATAAGCAAGGTTCTGGGTTTAATTTCTGTACCAAATACAAAGCAAAACAAATTTATGACAGAGAAAGCAGTGTTGAGAGAAAAATTTATAACTGTAAAATGTTTAAAAGGAATAGACTAGACTTCCACCTTAAGAAATTAGAAAAATGAGAACAAACTATTACCAAAGCAAGGAGAAGGAAGAAAACAACAAAGGTGAAGTGGAAATTAATGCAACACAGAAAAATAATGGAGAAAAATTAATGAAACTAAAAACTGGTCTTCAAAATTATTAACAAAATTGACAAATCTTTAGCTATATGGACCAAGAAAAAAAGATTTGAATTAATAAAATCAGAAATGAAAGATGAAGCTGGGTGTGGTGGTGCAGGCCTGTAATCACAGCAATTTGAGAGGCTGAGGCAAGAGGATCATGAGTTCAAAGCCAGCCTCAGCAACTTATCAAGGCACTTAGCAACTCAGCAAGACCCCTTCTCTAAATAAAATACACAAAAGATCTTTATACAAATGGATCTATATAAAATATTATTTTTTGGTCTGACTTTTGCCATTCAACATTAAATTTCAGAATGCTAAAAAAAAAAAAAAAATACACAAAAAGGCTGAGGGTGTGGCTCAGTGGTTAAGTGCCCCTGGGTGCAATCTCTGGTACAAAAAAGAAATGAAAGATGACTTCAATAATGTATCTTTTTTAAAAAGTTAGAAGAAAGGATTTTTGAATGTTTTCATCATAAAGAAATGATGTTTTAAGTGTGTTTAAGTAGGTAGATAGGTTTAACCTGACTTCAATCAGGACACCACTACTTACCTTACAAAACAAAAAACTATTAGGAATACTATGAACAAGTGTATGCAAAAATTAGATAATGAAATGGACAGATTTCTAGAAAGACACAAATTGTAATAAATGGCATAGGAAGACAGAAAAATCTGAATATAGTAGATAACAAATCTATTATTTATATCTACAAGTATCTATAAGTCTGAATATATAACAAATAAAGAAATTCAACTAGTAATCAATAATCTTCTCACAATGACATTCTCAGGCCCAGAAGGATTCACCATGGAATATCAAATATTGAAAGAGATAACAGTGATTCTTTATAAACCCTTCCAAAATATAGAAGAGGAGGGGACACTTTTTAACTCAGTCTATAAGGCCAATATTACCCTGACACCAAAACCAAATGAATCACAAGAAACAAAAACTACAAACGTACCTTATTAAAATGAATGTAAAAATCCCCCCAAAAGACAACATAAATCATCAAAGGGATACATATCTCTAACATGCAATGTTGGCTCAGCATACAAAGATTAACCAAATATATCAATTAACAAAATAAAAAAAAAGCCACATGATCATCTCAATCTTTACAAAAAGGGTAACTGACAAAATCCAACATCCTTTCATAATAAAAACACTCAATAAACTTAAAGGCAAATTTCCTCCATGATAAAGGGTAACTATGAAGAACTCACAGCTAACATCATACTAAATGGTCAAAGATTCAAAGCTCTCCCCCAAAATTAGGAAAAACACAAAAATATCTCTTGTCACCAATTCTGTTCAACATTGGGATGGGGTTCCAGCTACACCAATTAGGCAACAAAAGAAAATCCTGATAGGAAAGAAATGAAGTAAAATTATCTCTATTTAAAGATGACATGTATATAGAAAATCCTAAGTATTCCACAAAAAATATTAGAGCTAATTCAAACAAGTTCAGCAAGGATGCAGGATACAAGATCGGTATGCAAAAATCAGTTATATTCCCATACACTAGCAATGAACAATCCAAAAATAGAACTGAGAAACCAATTTACAACAGCATCAAAAACAGCAAAATACTTAGGAAAACACGTGGCAAACAAGTACAAGACTGTACACTAAAAACTTCAAAACATTACTAAAAAAATTAGAATAATTGGAATTTCTCAAAACTAAAAACTTCATATTTCTAAAACACTATCAAGAAAGTGAAGAAAGGCTGGGGATATAGCTCAGTTGGTAGAGTGCTTGCCTTGCATGCACAAGGCTCTGGGTTCAATCCCTAGCACCACAAAAAAAAAAAAAAGAAGAAGAAGAAAATGAAGGAGAGCTGGGGTATATAGCTCAGTGATAAACAGCTTGCCTAGCATGTACTAGGGCCCTAGGTTCAATCCCTAGGACTGCCCCCCACAAAAAAGTAAAAAGATCTCACTGAAATTGCAAACTTCATTAGGTAATAGCATCATATATACATACATATATACATATATATAATATTTTTACACATATATAGTATGTATATAGAAAGAACTCTTACATCTCTGTAATAAAAACCCCAATCCCAATAGTTAACATAATAAGAGGGCAAAGGATCTTAATTAATTAACATTTTCTCAAAGATATACAAATGTCAAATTAGCAAATGAAAATATTCTCAACATCATTGGTCATTAGGGTAATGCAAATCAAAACCACAATGACATACCACTTCAAGCCCACAAAAACAACTATAATCAAAAAGACAGACAAAAATAAGTATTGGTAAGAGTGTGGAAAAAGTGTAAACTTCAAACATTTCTGATGGGAATATAAAGATACAGTGACTTTGAGAAGTTCCTCAAAAGTTAAACCTAAACCTAAGAGTTACTATGTGATTCGGCAGTGCAACTCCTAGGAATATACCAAAGACTGATAGGGAACAGACAGACATTAGTGGTGGGAACATGAGGTTAAGGGAATAATTCTTTAAAGTAGGCCCATCATGCTGACCCCCACATGTTTTCACTTTTGAAAAGCAGCCCTACCTAGCTTAAGGCAACAGGATGTTACATTCCTAAGGAGCTTAATTAACATTTTCTGTTATTTACAGAAGAAATGCAAGCCTGAAATAATGCCAGTAAAAAGAACATAAGTTACCCTGAAGGAGGGGACTTCTGTGACCTTTACACAGACCAAATCCCAGAGAGATAAGGGTAATTCTCCTTACCATAAAATCTGTAAAAACAGGTTTCAATTAGAACCAGTCAGCATGAGCCAAAGTGACTCAGAGGTGTCATACCAGTGGGGACTTCAAAGTCTAATGTCATCCTGCTGTCAGTCAAAAGTCAAGAGGCAGACTTGGGAAGGACTCTGTGGAAACTTCCCTAAGGACCCCCAATAAAACTTGAAGGCAGGAGAGGCACACTGTCCCCCTCCTCTCTGAGAGATCCACTCTCTCCCTAGACAGTGTTCCCATTTCCCCTTTCCCATTTCTTTGAATAAACTCATGCCTATTACTCTAAGTAACATGTCTGAAATCTTTCCAGCATGCTTGCAAGAATCAGGGTTTGAAGAGGAGCCTTCATGCTGCTCAGTTTCCCAAAAGATCTCAGACCTGAAACACACATTCACACAAAAACTTAACATATTATAGTAGTATTATTTCATCATAACCAAAATACTGAAAAAAAAAAAAAAAATGCCCATCATATAATGAATGGATAGTCAAAATGTGTCATACCCCTCTAACTGAACATTATTCATCCATAAAAAAGAATGAACTACTGATACATGCTGTAACATTATACTGAGTGAAAGAAGTCAGTCTCAAAAGACTACATACAGCATTTATATGAAATGTCCAGAGCAGGGATATCCATAGAGAGAAAGGAGATAGTGGTTGCCAAGGGCTGGGGAGAAGAGGAAATGGAGAGTGACTATTAATGGGAGGGAACTAGGATTTTTCTTGGGAGTGATGAAAAATGTTCTGAAATTAGTAGTGATGATTGTACAACCTTGTGAATACACTTAAAAAAAAAAAAGAAGTCAATGAATTATATGCTTTTAAAAAAGAAAAAGCACCTTCAAAATTCTGCATGATTATTTTCAACCTTTCCATGTATGAACTTAATACTTAAATACATGCAGGCAGAGCAGCACCTGTGGCTGGGAGTGAGGGGACAAGTATTCCATTAATGTCTTGATGTTCTAACTCCTAGGCTACTATAACAGAAAGCTAATATTTGCATTTAAGATGTGGAAAATTTCAGAAATAGTATTATCAGAATACTCCTCAGAAATACAGCAATAACTACCAGAAGAAATAACTCAAAGACTATCTGAATTATGAGGCCAACAAATGGCCAGGAACTAACCTGTCAGATTTTTATATTCTCCACATTTTATGTAATTATTTTAAAAACAGAAACACTATCATGCTCTTAAGAAACTGGGTTATCGGAACACTGTAGTGGAAAGGTCTGACACTGAGATCAGAGGACTGAATTTCATATCCCATGGCATTGGTTTCCTGTGTGATCCTAAGCTAATCACTTTTACCTTCCTCATCTTTAAAACTGAAGGTAAAATTACCTGTGTCCTAAATAACGAGCTGTTACAAGAACCAGATAAAACAAAGCAAAAGGAGACTGAAAAGTATTGTTTAAAAATGAAAAAAAATTTACTCTTTCCATTAAAATATAAATAACCAAGTGTTTTTGATTTTAGTTATCAAAATAGATACTCATAATTACTACTGTCTGTCTCTAGAATTTACTTCAATTTGAACTACTTGGATTAGGGACCACACCAGAAACAAACTTGAAATAATTCTATAATCTGCCACATAAATGAAGCACTCTACTAATTATGTGTTAGAGACTAGATTTCTTTCCCCTGAGAGTAAATTAGGTCTGCTAGAAGCTATGTATATGACTATCCTTTCATTCCTGTACATCAATTTGAAAAAAGTTACCTTTACAGTCAAATCCTCATTACCCAATGTAACATGAACTTGAACAGGGGGGTAAACACCTTTGTCAGCATGGTGTTCCATAGTTGCTCTCATTGCATTCTGAAATACATCAAGGTTATGTTAAGAATAAAACTTTTTTAAAAAAGAGAAACTATAATTTTTAAGTACATGTGCACTATTTGAATTTAATTCAAAGAATTATAATTCTTATAACAATAAAGATAACTTTAAAAATTTTTTGAGTCAATTTTGGGAGAAAGTTGAGGACTACTTTCATTTAAAGATTCCAACTAAATTCTACACATTTTCCAAAAGTTGATTTCTAAACACTTTAAACTAGTTAACATTAAAGTAAGATTTCATCCAAACACTTTCAGAATTTTAGTAAATACTAAGCAAAACTTAGTTTTGAAAACTCAGTTTCAGCTTTACTTTTAAGAACTAGTTTAATTCTTATAGATTTCTTTAAAAGAAAATAAAATTTTTTCATATAGTAGAAACGCCAATAGTCTTATAAAAGCTTCCTTTATTGCAAGTTTGAAACTAAAGATATTTATATTGTAAAACTGTTTGACCAATTTCTAAAGAACATGAGGTACTCAACACCAATACACTGTGAGCATTAAACACAAGTAACATGACACGTAGCACTGGAGTAGAAACTGATAAAGACTAGCTATAACTGCTACGGGTGTAGCTCAGGGATAGAGCACTTGCCTAGTACCTGTGAGGCCTTGAGTCCAAAGCCCAGTACTAGGGGTTAGGGAAGATACAACTAAAAAAAGCTAAAGTCAGGACTCAATTTGGAAGAACATGTTGGCACTGGCACACCATTCAGGACTGAGTAGCCTGAGAAAGAGACTATGTTATCCTTATCCAAGGCAGCTCAAGAGGAGGTTCCAACAGAAAGCTATTGTCATCGCTGGTATAATATAAAATACAGAATATGAAATGCTTCTCATATTAAGCATCATTGGTCTTCATGTGACTGAAATTTCAAGGAAAAGAACATTTTAACACTTTAAGTGCCAATCACACTTAACCACTTTGTTACATTCTGAAAGGTATTAAATGCGTTCTTACAGTCTCAGAACAGAAAAGCATTCTTGAACACTTGCTTTTCTGAGATATTCAGTCAAATTCTGTGTTTCAGTATATTTTTCTTTTACATAATCAGACATAAAGCCACCTCTTTTCTATTCTGGTTGCTGATAGCTGAAGACATGGTAACTAAAGTAAGACAAATACAGGCTTCTGACTTAGGGCAGCTGTCTTCAGCCACAGGAACCAGTGCCACTCATCACCCACTTTCATATCAATCAATAAGTGTCATTGGAGGAGAAAAAGAAACACCCTCAACATTACCAGTATAATTTTATTTAGTTTTCAAATTTTGTTATAAGGAGCAAACATAATATAGAAGCCTTGTGAGTCAATATGACTTAAAAGGCAAGCATACCAATGGGGCTCAAGGGTAGAAAAAAGATCACTCTTCTAAATATTTTGGTTTACAAAAACATGAATATAACTTTGTTAAGCACCTATAATGGGCTGTCATTGCACTGGACACTTTCACATGTCCAATCTTCATAAATAATATTGATAGTATTATCATTGTTTTACAGGAGAAGAAACTAAGTTGAGTGACTTGCCCAATGTCACACATACTAAGTGACAGAACTGGAATTCAAACTCAGGTCTTTCTAACTCTGAAGTCTGAGCTCACCACTACCTAAAGGTGCCTGATCTTACTTACAAATGTCTGTTCTCCAGCAATGTGGCATGAAATGGCATCTTTTAATGAAATAGAACCCAGAGGAATATTTGACTTGCAGAGTAAATTCCTATCCTCAGGAAAGGACTGATAAAGGTTATGTAATACTATTTTACAAACCTTGAAAAGTTCAAACACCATGTGATAGAGATGGGATGGTACATAAACCACTTGTATTGGTTGTCCTGGTGATTTTGCTATAGAGCAGAAGAGAAAAATATGAAAGTACAGAGAGATGTGCTTAAAGCATTTTTAAGAATAAATTGTGTAGTGATGAAAAGAAAACATTCACTATGGAGGACAGTGTTATTTGGGGGAGAACTGCCACAATACTTCTAAATACTTCTTCACTGTATTAGTGTTTGAACCCCCCACTCACTAATAGTGAAAACTGACAAAGACAAGAGTCCTGTGGTCATTTTTCACAATCTGGCATAACTATTTAACCAACCCATCCTCCCATCCTTCTCTATAACAGTAAGTCTTTTTAAAAGACCTCAACCTTAAGCAGGAATTTTTCTTTTCAAAGAGTATTAAAAGTCTACAAATTCCATAGTCTCCTTCATATAAATATATATTTTAAAACCATTTACTAAAAGTTGCATTTGGGTGGAATGCTATCTATTTTATCTCAGGCATTTATCTGTATGGAAATCCAGCTGAATAATAATAAAATAATAATCATAATCATAAAAAGTTAACACCAATTTCTCAAAAGGTAATAATTCTACATTTGAACATTTAATAGGAGCAAGCTGGGGGTGGGGAAGGGGAACAAGTGTACCTAGAACAGACCTTTAGAAGAGTGAAGAAATGAGACACACCATGCTTTAGAATAATTCGACCAATAAATCAATTTTAAACTCAACTAATAAATCAGACTGTCCTCTGAATAAACTCCCCCTTGGGAACATGAATGGGATATCTGGAAACTGCCCACAGCAGTTCATGTTCCCAAACTATCATTTGTGCATTGAGATTCTTAATTAGTAAATGGCACATTGTGAATCAGAAGAGTCAACATGGCTTTAGAAAACCATCAAACAACTCTATTTTCAACTGGGCAATTTCTCCCACCATGCTCCCATTGTAGGGTCCAGAATATGGCTTAGTAAAAGTCTATTTAATTTTATTTTTCCCACCATCTTCTTAAAATTGTCAGTCAAACTACCATACTTTCAGGAAAAACAGTGATACTCATTAATCTTCTAAGACATCTAAACCCTTTTTGTCCAAAAGAGTAAAAGACAACCATCAGAGAGAAAGTGATCTCAAATAGATAAGCATTTTTTGTTCCTCTCTTATATGCCTAGTCTTTTCATTTCCTCAATTAAAAAAAAAAAAAAGATATACAAGTCAGGAAGTAAAAAAAAAAAGGGGGGGGTAACCTTTACATTACTGAAAGCATACATAAAAGTCAAACGTAATTTTCCTGGCATCATTTTTTTTTTTCTGACTATCCAGAAAATAAAATATAAGCAATGAATCAACACTATCAATTAAAAATAAGGAAAATTGAACAGAAAAAGCCAAAACATTTTTCACAAAGAATCCAACTAAATTATATGTGTGTGTACACACTTGTATATATTTTATAGGATTGCTCTTCAGCTTTTATATCCAATGAAAAATTTAATTAAAAATTTTTTTAAATCAAAACAAACATAAATTCTTCCTACAATTCCTTCTCAGTAGTCATGACACTAATCACTGAAAAGACAACATCATGCTTACCATTTAGTTCTTCAAGTTCTAGTTCAGGAGAGTTAATATAATACAAATCACAGAGACGCCTAGCATTTTCATAGCCATCTAGTGTAAATCAAAACAAAAAAATATTAAATAAACCTCCATAAGTTTCACGCATTAAGATGGCAATAATACTAACAAATGAAAATTTAAAACTCTCTATAGAAGAAAATAAACTTCAATAATCTTAGGGGGAAAAGCGTAACATGACAAAATCTAAAATCCATGAAGAAGAATGACAGATTGACTACAATAATTGAAAACATCAGGGCTAGGGTTGTAGCTCAGTGGTAGAGCACTTGCCTACCACATGTGAGGCACTGGGTTCAATCCTCAGCACCACATAAAAATAAATAAAATAAAATAAAGGTATTGTGTCCATCTACAACTAAAAAATATTTTTAAAAAATTTAAAACATTAGTATGGGAGAAGATACCATAAACACATCAAAAGAAAAAAAAACAGCAGGTTAAGAAAGTATTTATAATACACATATCAAAAACTAAGACTTTGTGAGGATTTAAGAAATAGGTATTCTTATTCATTGTTTAATACCTTTTTTTCTTTTGGATGTATCAAAAATTTAAATGCATTTAAGTATTATAATTATAGGAATCCTGCCTTATAAAATACTAGCAAATATCAGCATAAGGATGTTCACTGAAATATTGTTGTAACAAAAAAAAAAAGAAAAGAAAACCACCCAAGTGTGTATTAATAGAAGAATAGATTAATACATACTGATAAAGTCTACAGAATCATTCAAGAACATAGGGTGGCCAGGCACACTGGTGCAGGCCTGTAATCCCAGTGGCTAGGGAGGCTGAGATAGGAGGATTGTAAACTCAAAGGCAGCCTCAGCAACAAGAAGGCGCTAAGCAATTCAGTGAGACCCTGTCTCCAAATAAAATACAAAATAGGGCTGGGGATATGGCTTGGTGGTTGAGTGCCCTGAGTTCAATCCCTAGTACCATCCCCCGCAAAAAAACAAAAAACACAAAAATTTAGGGTGTATCCATATGTATCAACATTGTAAGGTATCTATCTGTAAGCTTGTAGAAAAATATAAGGTATAGCCTATATTCCACAAACAATAAAAATAGGCATGATCAACAATTTCATACATGTATGTCCACATGGTACAAAGAGAAAGAATATAAAAAGATGTAACCTAAAATGTTATGAATTATTGCTTCTAGAATAAAGAATTAAAAAGAGAGTAGAGATTTGAGTTTTTTAATGTGAAACAGATAGATACCTTCAACGATATCACCAAACTTTGCTTAACAAAGACACCTATCAACAAAACATTCATCCTATACATAACACACAATTAATGTTATAAAGTAATTTTCAAACTCACACATTTGCTCCTAACATTTTGTCTCATGATAAAGTAATAGGTGTTTTAGTAGCAAGAAAAACATTCAACTATTTTGACTTTTATAACCTTTCAAAAGAAGAAATGTATTTACCTTTAATAACTTCCACTACATTGCAGTTTGGATTTATACTACCAATGTGTTTTCGATGAGATGGACTTCCTTTTCCACCAAACAATAAAGCTATCAAAAAATAAAAAACAAGTAAACAAATCTATCTAATGCCCTTTTCCAGGTTTGATAACTATTTCTTCAAATGGTACTAAACAGAATAGCTATTTTCTTTAAGCATAAAACTGGCATTTTACATTCAATAAAAATACTCCTTTTTAGTCTACTTACTTTTCTTAATAAGCAAAAAAGTACAACTAAATGCTCTCACTAAAGGGCAGTTTTCTAAATGAATTTAAAATACTCAAACACACTTTATTCAGCAGCTTCTCTCAACTTCAGGACACTTACAGTGCTGATTTAGTAACATTCTGATTGAAATTCGACTCATGTAGAATCGATCCAAAAAGTACTGCACATTCTGGCTGGTGACAGGATCCACCCCGAAGCTCTCCTTGTATTCAATCACACCCTGGGCCATTGTGGGAATAACGTCGTTGTGTCGGTTTCTGATCCGTATCACAGTATCTGTGAAGCTAAAAACCCCAGTCTGTTAAAACAGCCAAATATATTGACAAGTGAGTTAACACTAAAAAATAAGCTTGCCAGATGTGCATGTACAACCAGAGAAATGAAAAGTTGTGCTCTATTTGTATAAAAGCAAAACAAACAAAATTAATTTAAAAAAAATAAAAGAAAGGAAGGAAAAAAAAAAAAAAGCTTGTCAGGTGTGGTGGGGCACATCTGTAATCCCAGCAACTCAGGAGGCTGAGGCAGGAGGATTGCAAGTTCAAAGCCAGCTTCAGAAATTTAGCAAGGCCCTAAGTAACTTAGTGAGACCCTGTCTCAAAATAAAATACCAAAGGAGCTGGGGATGTGGTTCAATGGTTAAGTGCCCCTGGTATCAAAAAAACAAACATAACATCAAAGCTTAACCAACTATAATAGACAAGAAATCCCTGGTCCAGTCAAAAGAGCTTCAATGCCTGTTTTCCTACACCTACTTAAACAAATTTCAGATCATAAAATATACTGAATCCATAAAGGTATGAGGACCTCTGAAATGAAATTGTAAAAATTTAATTCTTAGACTCCTAAGAGTAAGGCTGCCACACAACACAATTATAATTATTAACAGTTTTCTTTAGTTATTATCAACTAAAATCATCTAAGCACTCTATAAGGATGGTATTCCAAGGACATTCTGCATAAGGGGAGGCAGAGCACTTGCTTCTAGGGAGTACATGCTCTGTACAAAATCAAGATGAATGAACCAATGAAGGCTGTTGGGATTGGAACTATTCCCTAGAGTTCTAAGGGAGAAAGAACCACTTAAAATAGAATAGTAAACAAAACAAAACAAACCCTCTAATTTCATTCATCCTATGAGTCCATAAATAGAAGAGGAAAAGTAGACCACTGTACTAAAGGAAAAATCAACTCATACCACCTTTCCATTTCTATCACTTAGGAGACACTGCATGATTAATTTCAGGAACCAAATAAAAGAGGAAAGCAGTCTTTATTATGAAATAACAAAATCAATCTCCTAACATACCCATCAGAATTTACACTTCCAAATGAGTGCTTTCCCATTCAGAGTCATCGCCTTGAGTACTATTGACTTATTCCAATGATGTTCTTACTGCTCAAAACACTTCTGGAATTCCTTATTTGTAATCAGCTTTAAAAATCAAACTACAAACAAAATACAAACAACGAGGTTCCTCAAAAACAACAAACAATTCATAATTCCAATGCCCTCTTTATTCATTTACTTCACAGTTCTCTTAAGAAAACAATATGGGATGGGTTTGTGGGTCAGCAGTAGAACACATGCCTAGCATGCATGAGGCCCAGGGTTTGACACCTCACATCACAAAACAAAAACAAAAACAAAACATATTGGGCTGAAATTGTGGCTCAGTGGTAGAGCACTTGCCTCACACGTATGAGACACTAGGTTTCATCCTCAGCATCACATAAAAATAAATAAATAAAATAAAGGTATTGTGTCCATTAAAAAAAAAAAAACAGTATTATTCTATATAACTGCTCACCTTTTTTTCTATTCAGCTCTGAGTGATTGCTTTCAGCAAATTCTACAGCTTCTATAGAAGATTCTAATGTTTACTTTTAAGTAAAATTCCCTGGGTTCAAATCTGGGTCCTACCATTTGCTAGCTATATGACCTCAAGTCACCTACCCTCTTTGTGCACAAACATATTATCTCAGCGGAGTTGTCTTAAACACTAAATGACATCACTCATGTAACTAGGCACATAGTGATTTTTTTATTTTATTTTCATACCAAAATCATGTTTAAAAAATTAAGAGTTGCTATCCAGTTTAAAGACTGTTCAAAAACTTATAGCAGATTCTGAGGACAGATAGTCTTTACATTTTGAGCAACATTCACTGGAATAAGAAGAAACCTGCTGAGGTGACTACTCTGATTTATTGATTTGTATGCTGGTTAGGAAAACAGTCACATCACTTACATTACCATAGAGATGTACAATCATGTTTTTTATAGTCTTTTAGTATAACAAAAGAATTGAAATTAGATGCCAGTCTTTCACAATTGGAAGGTTTTACGTTTAAAAACTAGACTTGTAGCTTTTCTTTAAAAACAGAAAAATTCAGATGATTTGAGCAGCATTTCCAAATGGTGATGATCAGTGGTTGACTGAGGGTGACTATCCACTGGAAGGCCACACACTCTCCAAGTTTACAGTTCCAGTGGCACTGAGGCCATATCCAGATTTCTACTGATCATCACCCTTGAGCCTTTTTGTCTTTTCCTACTGTGAAGAACATGCAGAAATTCTTCTTTCTAGCCCAGCTCATTGATAGACATTACCTGCCTTACCGATACGGGCTGCTATACTATAAATACATAGATATATCATATGTTCTAAAGTAGAAGGAAGCTAAAAGTTCATCAATTTCCCTACAGTGGTCCAATAGCAGGTTTAAATGTAATACATTTATGGGTTTTTTAAAATATTTTTTTAATTGTAGATGGACACACAGTATCCTTATTTACTTTTATGTGGTGCTAAGGATCAAATCCAGTGCCTCACATATGCCAGGCAAGCACTTTACCATTGAGCGACAGCTGCAGCCCCCATTTATGTTTTTATATAATGTTTAAAGGATATAAAAATTGTGTTTGGAATAGAGTCAAACTCATATACTTACTCATAAATAGCTTTAGCATCTTCGGCACTTTTATCCTTAAACTCAAGAAGCTCCTGAAGACTCTGAATATACCTGAAATGCAAATCTGAGTTAGAGTTTTCTTTTCTTTTTTTCTTCTTTTGGTAATGGGAATTGAACTCAGGGACACTAAACACCAACTCCTTTTAAAAAATATTTTATTTAAAGACAGGGTCTCACTAAGTTGCTTAGGGCCTCACTAAGTTGCTTAGGGCCTTGCTAAGTTTCTGAGGCTAGCTTTGAACTCTCAATCCTCCTGCCTCTGCCTCCTGAGCCACTGGGATTATAGGCATGTGCCACCACACCTGGCAGGGATTAAAGTTTTCTACATTCTGAAAGTTCAATATTGTGAAAATCAGCTTTAAAAAACCTACTTTAAAATTAAAATTTTAATTTTAAAATAAAAATTATAAAATTTTATAATAAAAATTATAAATAAAAAATAAAAAGGGATAGTGATATAGTTCAATGGCAGAAAGCCCCTAGGTTCAACCCCTAGAAAGCCAAAATAAAAGGTAAAATAAAAGGTCGAATTTCATTTTAAGATTTCCTATTTCAAGGTCTATATACTAAAATAGTTTTTAAATCTTTCAAACCCCACCATGAATTACAGTATAAATACTGACTGTCGTGAAAACTAAATCTGACATGCTAACTGACCATGTGATCTTGGGCAAATGGCTTGTTTAGTCTCAGTAAAAGGAGGAGGTTAGCTTACCTTGCTCTAACAATCTAACTTAAATGTTTGTATTTTAAAAGCTTAAGTTTAGATGCATATACCCAGTCAACAAATATTTGCTGAGAGCCTATAATCTACCATGTTTCTTTTACCATGTGGCTTAGAGAGAACTAAACACAAATATGAAATCATGAGAATAAAGGTTTTCAATTTACCTCACAATTCAAGACAGCAAAATACCTATTTATGAATGACCAAAATGAGAACGGTCAAATGACTTCCTGAAGGTCATGCAGCCACAGTACAATGGCACTACAGGGCCAGTGCTAAAATTACCTCACAATCACTTAATCACCTGCTTCAACAGTGTTAAGTTCTACTTTCAGCAGTTTATCTACAACTTCTCTAACTTAGCAGGCAACAAGGACAATGAAAGTATTTTTCAAATCTGTAAATCCATATGTTGGTCTAGAAAACTGATCTTGAAAAACAATAGGCTTTACTTGCTTTCCAAAATGCAGAACACCATTCTGAAGCTGCTATTCTGTTTTAACCCTTAATTTTCTCATCATTGGTAAGAAAAAGTATGTTCTTTAAGAGATATTTGAACACTTACCTCTTCTAAGACAAGATTTCAAAAAGCAGCATATGCTACTCTTTCTTTTTCTCATTCCCCAGAACTTCCCATCCTCCCACCTCTTGGTCCCTTTCCTCTACTGATCTCCCTTTGATTTTTAAGAGATCCACCACATCTTTTTTTCCCTTTTTTTCCTCTCTAAGTTCCACACGAGAGAAACATATACCCTTGACCTCTGAGACTGACTTACTTTGCTTAACATGATGGTCCCTAGTTCCATCCAAAATCCTGCAAATGCCGTGATTCATTTTTCTTTATGACTGAATAAAATTCCATTGTATATATATCCCATATTTTCTTTATCCATTTATCCACTGATGGACACCTAGCCTGCTTCCATAGTTTGGCTATGGTGAATTATGTTGCTCTGAACATGGTATGCATGTATCACTGTAGTAAGATGACTTTTAATTCTTCAGAATAAACACTAAGAAGTGGAACTGAGTTTGTAGTTCAGTTACAGAGCACTTGCCTTGCACATGTGAGGCACTGGGTTTAATCTTCAGAACCACATAAAAATAAATAAATAAAAATATTTTGTCCATCTACAACTAAAAAAAATTTTTTTTAAATACTAAGTAGTGGTATAGATAGGTCATATAATGGTTCTGTACCTAGTCTTTAAGGAACCTCCATAAAGGTAGAATATGCAACTTCTACAAAAGAATTTTAAGAAACAAGAAAAACTTCCTTCAGAAAATTATATTTTCTCCTTCAATTCCATCTTGGGCTGGGGATGTGGCTCAAGCGGTAGCACGCTCGACTGGCATGCGTGCGGCCTGGGTTCAATTCTCAGCACCACATACAAACAAAGATGTTGTGTCCGCCAAAAACTAAAAAATAAATATTAAAATTCTCTCTCTCTCTCCCTCTCCCTCTTACTCTCACTCTCCCTCTCAATCTGTCTTTAAAAAAAAAAAAAAAGAATATCTACTAACTTTAAAAAAAATAATAAAATAAAATAAAAATAAAACATTGCCTCTTATTTAAACCACATTTATTCCAACCATGATGGCTCAGGCCTATAATCCCAGAGACTCAGGAGGCTGAGGCAGGAGGATTGCAAGTTCAAGGCCAGCCTCAGCAACTTAGCAAGACCCTATCTCAAAATAAAAAAATTAAAGGCCTAGGCCTAGGGATGTAGTTCAGTGGTAAAGTGGCCCTGGGTTCAGTCTCTAGTACCAAAATATTTATATCACACACATTTATAACTGTTCCATACTTGGACCAGATAACAACTGATGATCATATATGCAATAGTCCTACTTTTTTTTCCTCACTTTTAAAATTGATGTTAGATCAGGATTTCACTCAAGCTATAACTCCTACAAAAGGAAAATTAGGATTTCCATGAATCAATTGGGAAATGTCTTACAGTTAAACTTTTCTATTTAAGACTTAACTCTGGCCAGTGTATGTGTACTTTTTCTTTTTTCTTTTTTTAAATATAGTCCTTAAGAGCATAAATTTTTAAAATTAGTAACATTAACAACAAGGGCTACTGATAGGTGGCCACATAGAAATGTGTACCCTTAAGACCTTCACTATCATTTATGGAAAGAGAAATCACAGTTTCTATACAATTTCAATAACTTCACTTTTAAAATGGAAGAATACGATCAGTACATGTTGTATGTACATACTGAAACATCACACTGAACCTCACTAAAGTATATAATAAATACATGTTAATAAAAAACCGAGTAAATTTTAACTTTTGTGATTTATAAAGATACATGCAGTTTACATGCATACATCCCTTTAGCAAAGGCACCTTTACTTTATCAACCATATGCACCCTTTAATAGCTTTCATCATTCTGATGGCAGCAGGGTATAGTAGAGCCCAGTGAATCGGGGTTTGAATCCCAGATCCACTATCTGTGGTATCCCCTTAGGCAAAAGACTTCACCTATACGTAACTCATCCTCACCATGTAAAATGGAGTTAATAACTACCAAGCAGGGTCACTGAAGAAAATGAAGATAATATACATAAGTATCCAGCCATCAACAAATATGGTAGATATTTGTCTTATATTAGATTATAACACCCCTGCATATTTAATAACATAAATCTTAATTTGGTATCTGTATTTCTGTGCACATCTGACTGGTTTTCTCAAAACCAAGGCATGAAAAAGTCCAGAATTCAGATGACAACCCTAGATATATAACTCTCCACCCCACCTTACCCCCAAAAAGTAAAAGAAAACTACTGCTACCACCATAAGATTCCACTGAAAAGTAAAAAAGCATTTGGTTTAACCTTGAGTAAAATCCACGATTCCATCAAAATTACAAACACAAAATGGGAAGGTTACCAGCTTTGAACCAACTGAACGGATGGCGTCCTGAGAAGATTATCTGGAAGAAGACTTATTTCTTTCATTATATTTGCCAGTCTCACAGGTAACTCTTGCCGCAGAAACATAAATGAGGTCTTTTCACAAGCATTTACCGATCCTGAAAATAAACATAGAAGGAAAAACAGTTAAGTAAAAACCTAAGGCACTAGAAGTCAAGAAGTAGGGAGAAATGCAGGGGAGTTACCTGGTCAGGCCAGAGTGGAAGAATCACAGAAATCAAAACCACCAATGCCTGTTCAGCAACTATTTTCAAGCAAGACCTCGCCAATTGTGTAATTCATGGAAAGCCACCTGCACCTCCTCTATCTCCATTCCTATATCAGAATGCTAAGCTGGATAAAAAAAAAAATGTCCTTTGGCAAGTTGCTTCACTTAAAGTTAAGCCAAAAGGTCATATTATTTCAGCAATACACATTTTTAATTAATTGAATCTTGCTGCTTTAGCAAAGGCACCTTTACTTTATCAACAACAGAAACTATGGTATTACAGGAAAACAACCTGTGAAAATGTAATAGTGGTATACTTGCGAACAAGGTCAAATTACCCTATTCACCACACTATAGTCATTTTAAAGTAAAAGTGAGAGTGATGGTGTGTTTTGAGCCAAAACAAACAAAAAACCCTCAAAGAAACAATACAAAGAAACCACCACTACCTGCCACCATAAACCACTGTCTTAAGATAAGCTGGCAGCCATACTCTTATCTTTCAAGCCCACTAGCTATATTAGTGACCTCACAGCACTTACAACAATGAAGATAACTTTTTCTACTCAAAACTTTTGGACTTTTCAAAAGAGTCTATGTTGAGTTTTCCCTTTTCCCCTTATGGCCCCCAGATGAGAAGTCAAAGTCAAATGCCTAATTTCCATTCCTTCTGCAATCTGTTGCACATATTCCAGACGACCTGGATGAAAAGTGGTAAACTCCGTGGAGTTCCCTGCACTCTTGTACTTTACACATGCTCAAGATTCATTGGCTACTTATGCAATGAATGTGCTGTTGGTGAAAACAGTCTTAAGCCACTGGCAAGGAAAACATTCTAAAGAAATATTGGGCCAGTTATAACTTGCTTTCCCTATATTCATGCCAATTCTATACAATCATCCTAGGATTGTACTTATCATCACTCTACATATTTCGAACGCTATTCCCGGAGGTGCCTGCACTCTGGACTCTCGCCCGAACCTGGCTCCCCCACAGGGGCCTGGTCCCGAGAGCGCACCTGCACACGTGCACAGAAAGAAGGGACGTCATTCTGCCTACCACCCTTCTGATTTGTTTTCAACAGCACAGAGTAAAAAAGCTACACGCCCCCAGGTATTTACCCCGCCTGCTAGCAGGAAGAACATGTGTGTAGGGGGGAGGGGGGCGACTGAGGAGAAGGGAGAACAGAGGTAGCAGTCCCCGGTTCCAGCTCCGCGCCCGGAGCCGCACAAAGGCCCGAGGTCCGGGCCGCGCTCACCGAAGTCCAGGAACTGCTTCATGGAAAGCGGCGACGGCGAGAAGCGCGCGTAGAAGTCCACTTGGCCCGGAACGCCGCGTTCCGACGCCGGGCCGGAGCCCGAATCCGAGGCGAGGCTGCGGCTGGCGCTGGGGCCGTAGGCGCGTAGCCCCGGGCCCGGGCCGGCCGAGGCGGCTACGCGCACTAGCCGCGCCAGCCTCATGCCGAGCCCATCCGGAGGAGCCGGAGCCCCCGGCGCTAGCTCGCAGCTCCGCGCCGCGGCCAGGCGCTACGTGAGGGACGTGGCGGGCCGCGGGGGCGGGGAGCGGCTGTCACCGCTGGGGCCACCGCCCCCTTGCGGGAGCCCCTCCCCTAAATGGGCGGGGTCATACGGGAGGGAGGCGGTGCTAAGGAGGCTGCGAGTGGCCGGCGCCCGAACCCCAGAGCAGACTCGGGCTGGCGGGGTAGGGCGGGCGTCGCCTCACGAGCTCCTGGGAAGCCAGAGAGTGGCCGTTGGCACCCTGGGTCGTCTTGCCCGACGCTCTGTGTGGCGCCCCTCCTTCCCACGCCCTTTCGTAACAACTTTCACCTTCCGGCTTCCTCTTCCAGTTCTCTGTCAAAAGGCTCTAGGCTCTGCAGGGTGGGGCTGGGAGCCCCTTCCACAAATACTCCTCTACAAAGTCCCACATTTACCATTTTATTTATTTGTTTATTTATTTTTGTAGTGCCTGGAATTGAACTCAGCCTCTCTCATGTTAGGCATGCACTTTACTACCACCGAGCTACATCACAACCAAGCCCCACATTTTACAAGTGACAGGGGGAAGCACCCTTGCCAGACAGTGGTACCTAAAAACGATGAACACTTTCACGCGCGCGTGTGCGTGCGTGTGTGTGTGTGTGTGTGTGTGTGTAAGGGGGTGCCCCTAAATAACATTACAGCGACTGACGTCCCGGGAAAAAAGTACTGGCAGCCCGACTAGAAGCGTAAAGCTCTCTGCGAGCATTTTCTGCACGGTCAGCAGTGTATTTAAAGCGTCCTCTTGACTATCTTGTTAGTGTCAAAGCATGGCTGCTCCACCCTTTCCAGGTTTCTAAATAGTAAACGTCGGACTAAACAATTTATAATATTAGTTTATAGAGCTGCAAAGGATGCAATTACAAGTAAGAAGCACTTCTGTCCTCTCTCCACTGCTGCTGCACCCTATGACCACCCCAGCTAGGTATGTCTCAGGTGCAGCAAAATGACTTTACCATTGGCATGAAGTTTATCAATTAAATAGAATTTATATGTCTATCCCCAGCAGTTACTAGTACAGAATAACATTTCATTCTCCATAGTGGTCAGATCTTGGACTGTGTAAAAATAGGAGAAATGAGATGAGAGATTATGTTCAGCACAAAGGGGAACATTGACTACCTGGAAACAAATGTAGTGATTAGGCTTATAGTGGAGGAAATATAAGTTTTTCTTCAAGCCTCATGAGCCCTTAGAATGGATGCCTGAAACAAAAGACAGATGAATAAGAGAAAGACAGTTGTTTATTAACATGTATATTTCATGTATACATGGGAAGTATCCAGAGAAAAATTCTCCAAAAGTGACCTTGAATTCCAGCTTATAGAGCCTCTTCAACAAAGAAGAGTAAATTTTTAGAGAGTGTCAAGATGTAGGAAGAGGACTTTAAGTCTCCTTTATAAATGGAAATTTCCTTTACTGAAGAACAACTTGTGCCCTGTGTTTATAGCTTTCCCTGTGTCTGCTGGCTTTTCAGTGGCCTTTACTCAAAATAATGCATATGCCAAAAGAGGCATATTTGAGGGTAGTATATTCTGGCACCCTTCAACACCATATCTTCAAATGTCAAAGATCCTGCTCCATGAAAAAGGATTAGGTTAGGTTTGTTCTGGGTGGGCCAGACAGCAGATGGAAGGCCAGTGGGTGGATACTATAGAGAGACAGATCTGACTCAACATGGAAAAACTGGCAATGGTCGCAGCTATTAGACAGTGAAATGGGCAGTCTTAAGAGAAAGAAAGTCACCTTGTCAATGCCCGTTAGCCAAGAGTCTGGACAAGAGCTTTATAAGATGATACAGGGAGGATTATGGGGAAGCAGGGTGATATAATTGTTAGGTAGGAATTCAGGGTCACCAAGATGATGGAGGCAGGGTATAAGAAAAAGGCCGCTAGAGGACAAGACAGGGAGATGAGTCATCATGTCCCTGTTTATAGTGTCCCATTACCATGACAATTTTCGCCACTGGGGACTCATCACCCATGATAACTCCTACCATAGGTGTGATATTCTAAAATAACCAGTGGGAGCAAGTGGGATAAGTTCTTCAATCAGAGCCACATAGGGAAGAGAATGCCTCACAGCTCAGCATATAAAACATGAATTTCCAGATATGAGGCCCTTGAGCCTCTCTCTATCTCTTGCTTGGCCCACTCCACTCTATCTTAGGAAATGCTACTTTCACCTTCACTATCAATAAATCTGTACCTTACCTGCTACTTCTAGGTATCTTGATCAATTCTTAGTTCAGGACATTGGACCCCAGCTGGATATCCAATAATAATATAATGAAAAGAGCCTGGGGTTCTGGTTTTAAATTTTGACTGTGGCTTATGCTGGCTAGGTGCCCTTGTATGAGTTTCTTACCCCTCGACCTCAGTCTATTTACCTAAAAAATAAAATAAATAAATAAGTATATCTATCTTACTGGGTCACTGTGATATCTTATAACAATGTTAGCACAAATATTTAACAAATGGCATCTATTTTTATCATTATTACTATTTTTGATTATTGCCTTATTAGGATTTTACAAGAACCACTCATATACATGTTTTGCTTAAAGCATACTTTACCAAAGCTCTGGGAGAAAACAATTTAAAGTTGAATATTAGACATCCTTAAAATAGCCCTTCAACCATTTCCATTACTTCAACCTCTCACATTGCCTTCTTCTTTCTTTTTTCTTTCCTTCTAGATCACTCCCAGAGCTCTGGATTCTTTTTACTCTCCCAGGTACAGTATTATCCAGTTCTTCTCAACCCCTATCTGCTTTCCACTTGAGCATTCAAGGTACCCAGCTGAATATTAACCTGCATGGAAGCACCAAGGCCCAGCAGAAGCCATAAAAGTTATTTTACTAAGGTTCTTCCAGAATATAATCACCTGTTTTATAGTATTTTTTCTTTCCTCCACAGTTGTATTCTCTGAGCTTCCACCAGATAGAGAATGATTATATAAGAGCACAAATAAGTGGTATGTCAAATCCTCCCCGCCCCCCACCCATGGGCAACCACCATTGACTTTTTGCTTCTTTAGGGAAAAGTTTAAGGTCCAGAAGCTGGAGAGAGACTTAAGGGACTAAGAGGCTATATATTACTTACCTATGTAGATATAAATTTACAACTGTAACAGTGATCCACTTTATGCTTTGAATGTAACCCTTGCTGCTCTGCCACTGCAATTTATTTTTTTAATTATTTTTTAAATAATAACATTATTGTATATTTTAGATATTTATTTCATTTATTTATATTTTTTTATGTGGTGCTGAGGATGAACCCAGTGCCTCACAATGCTAGGCAATAGCTCTACCACTGACCTACAACCACAGCCCCTGCAATTTATTTTTAAAGTGGAAATGTTTCTTTCTCTTCCTCTCTCCCTGCTCCTCCCTAATCTCTCCCTCTCCCTAATCTCAAGGGAAACAGGATTACCTTTCTTCCCCATCCTAGGCAGAGTTATCTGTCTCTGAGTACACACTCACCACAGGAATCAAGTAATCCAGACTTTGGGGATGTACAGAAGAACTCAGAAATAACTATCTTCAAAATCAACAAGTGAATTATAACTCCAACAAAGAACATGTGGAATGTAGCCTTTGAATCACCTCTTTAAAAGCCCCCTGTTCCTGCTGATGGGCAGAATCACAGTCTTTGGGGCAGGAGTCCCTGTGTTTCTCTTTTGCTAGCAAAGCAATAAATTTTTTTCCTTTTTCTCAAAACAGTGTCCTTGTAATTGGATTGGCATTGGGAACAAGGACCAAGATTTCAGCAATATAACCATACTCTCAGACTTCTTAAGATTTTTTTTTTTTTTTTTTTTTAGCTAGCCAGACTGTCTAAATTCACTGAGAATTTGTGATCCATATTGGGCCGATTTGACTCAGAAGAGGCGGGGTGGGCGTGGGAATGGAAACAAGTTAGGTTGTATTGCTCTGTCTTTATTACATGCTGGCTTTGTGGGGTTCAGAGAACAAAAGGAGAGAAGAGTCATATTTATTTCCTGGTCTCTTCCCGCTAGGCCATGGTTTGTGATCCTCTGTGTGGCTCCAGTTCCCTCCCCATGCCCAATGAGCATGTGGTAGAAGTTTTCCTCTATTGCTAACGGGGTGCTTCACCAGTCCTGGCTGCTTAACTCAACCTACATCCCTATAAATAGTTCTTTCATCAAACACTCTTCAGTTTCCCTTTTGAGTGTGCTAATATTTCCTGCCTCAGACTTCTGTTTGATACACTAGAAAGATAATTTTCAAAACAAAGGTAAAATCAAGTCTCATGCAGCTATAAAATGAACACCTGCCAAAATTTTTATTTAACACATTAATTTAATGAGAGAACCAGAAAAAAGAAAAAAAGGTACAATCAGTTCAAAGGAGAAGTCAAACAATAGCAATACAGAAAGGAATTTGCAAAGGCTACAAAACTGACTTTTCCCTAGGGAATCAAGGAGGGTGGTCGCTCTTTCTGGCAGATTTATTTGCATTGTTATCAGTTATCTCCAATTTACATAGTTATAAAACTGGAATAGTTATAAACCCTGGAAAGTTTTGCTTTAAGCAATGTTTAGCATTCCACCAAAGGACAGTTTATTCCTATATACATTTGACTGCTTTCTTGAAGGGGTACAGTCATTCAAGTCATTACCAGTGCCCATGATGTGGAGGCTATCTATTCACCAGGATTTGTTTTAGGGGAAACACAGGTTTTATTTGGAATAAGTACTTTGATATGCTGCTGGAGTGGAAGGAGCAATCCCAGAGGAAGGCTCACAAAGAGCTCTGCAGGAAGCCAGAGGAGGAATTCACTTTGCAGAGCAAAGGGGAGGGAGAGGGGGCAGATTGCTAAGGCTGGTTCAAGCAGTGAGCACTATTTGTAACACCCACATTCAGTGGTTTACTAAAAAAAATGTAAAATCTTGTGGAGACTGAATCCCTTGTGCCTTTGTGCAAATTGGAGGAAAAAAGCAGACTTTATTTTTT